CCAGAGTAAAAAATATTTTGTAAAAAAAAAAATATTATAATTTTTTTTTGTAATTTTTAGTATGAATTAAATTCAAACTTTATTTTTATTACTTCTAATAGAATTCCGGTGAATTTGTTTTTAAATTTTTGCTTATAAAACACAAGATACTTTTATTTGAATTTTTCACATAATCATATAAATTTAATTCCTCCATAATTATGTGCATCAAAAAGGAATGATATTGGCATAGGTTCTAAATATTGAAGACTTGTCTAAAATAGTTTTGAACTTAATGAGATAACATAATATCTGATAACGTTTTTTATATAAATTTATTAGCTGTAAAAGAAACTCATGAAGTTTATAAAAAAGTTTTTAGCGATTAATATTTTCATGCGGTATATTAAAATATAGATTAAAATAATATAGAAATATCTCTTAAATTTCAAATTTAATACTTTCTTAACATGCAACTCAAAAAACTCAAATAATTTATTGAGAATTGGGGAAAAGTATATAATGAAGCATAAAGACTACATTTTCCGTGAACAAATAGGGAAAACTTGTAATTTAACTTATCTTGATTTTTAATAATTTCCTTAATGTTTATTCCTGTAACACTAGAACTTTTAACAAGTCATTATTAGCTCATTTTGTTTCACCTAACTTACAAAATAATATTCAAATATTCTAAAGGTTTTCTCGAGAAATAACAATTATTTAATGTCGGTAACTACTAATGGCAATTTTTGTAAAATATTTATTTTTACTAAAAATTTATTGTTTTCCTTCCAATTTAAATAGACAAATAAAATTCCATAGTTTTAAATTTTTCAATAACTTATTTAAATCAAAACCATAGTTTTCAATATGAAAATAAAAGAAATGCTACATAAAACTAAATTAATAAACAGTCATTTACATTTATGATGTTTAAATGAACTGAAAGAATATAAAAAGTTATTGTACCTCTTTGAGAATAAATTATGGTAACCATTCCTTTCCAAAGGTAAATGACTCATTTTTTTAAAACAACTATCCGTCCAAACATGAATGCCATTTTATCATCATGTTCCATTGGTTCTAAAGGAGTTGAAAGCAATTTCAATAATTTTCTTTCGATTGATTTGTTAAACAATAATCATTAATTTCCATCACCTTTTAGAAACAATGCTGTTCACCAAGGACTCATAAAGTTCATTTTCATGCTCGATTGACTGTCAGAAATAAATTGAGACAAAAAAATAATAAAAACATTAAATAAAAGAGTCTCATTTTTAAATGACATCGAGAAAGGTTTTTTGTACATATTACTCAGTATGGATTTTAGCGATTAACTTGCAAATAGGAACTATCACAAATATTAAGTTTCTAAAACATTATTTCTTTATTATTGGAAGAAATTTTATTTATATATATTACAAGTCTTTAAGAAATAGCGTTATTTAAAAAATTAGTCAAAACTGTCAGTAGCATATTTGTAAACTTTTTTCATAACTACTAAATTTTTTTATCTTTCTTATGTTACTAAATACAGTCGACTCTGGATATTTCGAATTTGGAGGGACCAATGAAAAACTTCGAATTGTCAAGAGGGTAGAAAAAAACTCCCAAAAATACACGAAAAGAAATTTTTGTAACACATTTAAATGTGAAACTTTTAATTCAAAATCTAAAATTAACACATGGCATATTCACATTTTCACACTCAGGTACCGACTATACTTAATGGCACCGATGTTGGGTAGGTTCTTCTAGCCTAATCAGTCCACCAAACAATTTGATCCGTTTTTTTATTACTCTCCTCCATCGCTCCTCTCTTTTCCCTTTCCCTTCCATCTTTCTTAACCCCCTTTACACTCTCTTAATTTGTTTCATTCCTCATTGGAAATAAAACCGTTTCGCACCCGGTTCCCTCAGACACTGTCCCCAACACCATTGATTCTTTTATTAACGGTCCAGTCCGGCACAAGCCTTATTTGGTGCCAAATGCTATAAGTCAAACAGATAGCCATAAATCGCCATGTCAGTCCGACGCAAAATACACAATCCTACATATCTCATCCTCCCAAAGCAGACCAACTATCCTTTCTGAACACACGTGTAACAAGTCCACGAGTTAAACGAAAGATTTGGACGGCTCACAACACTATTGTACACTTGAAGAAGGAAAGCAATAAAAGTGTCTTCTCGCTTGAGGAACCATAAAATACAAAGAAGGGGTAGCAGACAGAGGGTCATCAAAGGGCTACCTTACAAGGGAAAACACAGGGACAATCCAACACAAAACTTGTAAGCTGCAACCTGTTTGAAACAGTGAGTGCTTGCAACAGTGGAACATGATAGTGAATGTTCGAATTGTCGAGAGTTTTATAAGGTAAGTTCGTTTATAAGGACTTCGTTATACTTTCGAGTTTTATAAGGTTTTAGTCTGGTCAGCCCCAGATTTTACTTTGAAATATTGAGTGTACCAAAACGTATTGTTTAGCTCGAAATATCAAGAGTTTTTCTAGGGGCTGAACATATACTTCGAATTAGCGAGTGGTTTGTATTATCTAAGGATTGAATTAGCGAGAGTCGACTGTAATAGTTACGACGTAAGGAATTCAGTATTAAATTTTTATATTTTGCTAAGATATGATTACTGTTGTTACATGTAACTTTGATACTATAAAACTGAAACGAACCTCTTTTATCGTACAAATTGCTATTTATAATTTGATATTTTTATTTGTTCTATAAATATTCAGCTTTATTTACCACCGGAGTGAAAAAGTTTCCGAAATGTTCTCCTACATTCAAGCATGTGCTCGTTGGAAGGGAAATATCTATTGCGGAGGTTAACACCTCTAATAAGGAAAACCCGCAATCATATAGAACTCATTTCCTGTTCTTAGATGCAGAACATTTCTGACAAAGCGAATTTTTCATTCTTTGGATTTTACAATGTCGCCAAACATCAAATTCTGTATTTTTCTCGAGAAATCCCCTGACACACTTGAGAGGCTGAAGAAAGCGTTCTGAAACGATTGCAGCACCAGAGGAATTTTACCTGTTTCCTTGGTTGAAAATGAAATAGAAGAGACATCGTTTTGGGGATTCAGATGAGGTGATCCAAAATGCGATGTACAGATGTTTTGTACAGATATAGGAATGCTGGAACAAGAGTGTGTGGATGCCGGGGGGCTGGATTTTGAAGACCAATAAGATTAAATTATTGTTCTATTTTTTCATAATTTATAATTGATCTAGGTATTTCTGGAAATCTAGGATCCTACTGTATGTCACCATTTGTCTCTATTTTGCGTAAAATAGTAAATTACGATTACCAAAGCATATCAACTCGTCAATGTATAGGATGAATGTAACCACAATTTAGCTATCAATACTTTCCAGTTCGTACAATTGTAAATAAGTATTTGTTGTACCTTACTTAATAATCCACCCTGCTATATATCTTCCCTCAATTAATAAGTAATGAATATCATTACATTGTTACATAGGCTTCTTATAATACTATGTTCTTTTTGACTAATAGTTTGTGTTATTCTTTTAATATTCATTAATTACTTTAAATTATATTTTTCACATACTTAGATGACAAGTTTAGTCAGATTTTCATATATGTTTAGAACTAAGCAGTCTTCACGGAATCTTAATCACAAAGAGAATAAATTTTTATTTTCATATATATGATACTGTAATCCAATTGGAAGTTCAACAAATTTACACAACATATTTTGATAAAAAAAAATACAGTCTGGTAAACAAAAAAATAATTAGACTACTGCTTAGAAAAAAAATGTAATAAAATCAGTGTTTTCAAAAATAACTGCGCAATATCAAGCAATTCTGGTGTGCTTTTATCCATATTTAAAAATAAACGTTCCAAAAACCTTTTAAATATGAACAATCTGATACAATTGTGTTCCCCAGAAAAGAATATTTTAACCAAATAACTCTTTTAACTTTTTAATAAACCTAAATACAAATTAAATAGAAACTAAATACTAAAATGCAGTTTTTTATATATCACAAAGATTTACATATTTGATTATATGTTCGAAAAAGCTGCTGAAATAATTAGAATTTTGAGAGAAATAATTATTTTTCTTACTTTGAAAGTTAAAGTTTTAAGGTTCGATTTTTAGTCTTTTTTTAGATGTTAACATAGTAAAAGAAGGAAAAAAAGCTGTATATGTTCATTCAATTATTTTGAATAACTTAAATCCTCAGTAAAAAATGTAATCGATAATCAATATCACACACATCTAATAATCTAATATCACATCTCAGGTACGATACTGAAATGTCTTTCAAAATTCTGCTTACGTTAACACAACTAAAAGTACTCCAGATATCTTTCTCAATTTGTTAAATTAAATCTGCCCGAGGGCTTACCATCCCACATCATTTTCAGGTTGTGATGTAATTGTTTGAAACTTTATTAAGTGTGTGCTTCGTCTCGATCACACTTTAATCGTTTTCTACAAACGGGGAAAATTTACTTTGCCTTTATTACAGTATTAGTTATTAAAAGGAAGAAAACTCTGACAATAAATATAAAAATACTGTTTAAAAAGTTAAGGAAAAAGATTGGAAAATGGAATTCTTTGCCTTCTAAAATTTGTTCTCCTACCGTGTGCTATATGAAAAGGAAAAATCATGTTTTAAAAAATATCAAGGATCTTAATGACAATGAGGCTCTTATAAAATCATATCAGATTTTTAGCAATATTTGTCCTCAAATATCATTGACCGAAATCAAACAAAATAATAGCAGAGAGATTATCAGTAATTCGTATTTAAACAAGTAATATTAAAAAATTAAAGTCAACTCCTACTTAGGTCAACAAAGAAAATTTTTATACTTTAGTTACTTTTTATTAATATTATTTCTTAATATTGAGTGTCAAAAAATGAAAGCGAATTTCATTTCCATGTATGGTGTTGGACTATTATTTTTGCTTTTTTTACTCTTTATACATTCATAAATCACATTCTCCGAAATTAGGCTCCATCCCAGGTAAGATTCGAACTCACGACCCTTTGAATTAGAAGTCGAACGTGCTATCCATTGCACTACAGGGACAAAGCGAGCGATTTTCCTTTTTATGTATTGTGTTAGACTATTGTTTTTGTGTTTGTTACTATTTATTATTATTAATTTAATTAATGAATTAATATTTTTTTAAAAAATGTATTAATATCAAGTGTCATCCACTAAAAGTTTAAAAAGTGCATTTGTACTTCAATGGATAAATAAAAAGTATTTTATTAACGATTGAAAATTTGAACTATATGTACACTCAAGAGCCAAAACATTATGACCACCTGTCAATAACGAGTTGGCCCACCTTTAGCGCGCAACACAACTTCAACTCGAATTGGTATGGATGCCACAAGTCCTTGGTAGATGGCCGGAGACAGATTCTACCAGATGTTTAAGCAACGCTCACTCAAATACGAGATATTGCGAATTGATGGTCTTTGAACTCTGAGCTGCCGTCCCATGACATCCCAAATGTGTTCTATCGTATTGAGATCCGGTTAGTTAGGCGGCCAGGACATTGACTGGAATTCAGCATCATGTTCCTGGAATCACTCAAACACAATTTTAGCCTTGTGACACGGGACGTTGTCCTGTTGGAACATTCCATTTCCAGCTGGAAAAACAGAGGCCATGTAAGGGTGCAACTGGTCCGCAATGATGTTCAGATACCCTGTAGCATTCATGGTCTGCTCTACAACAACCACGGGTCCCAGAGACGCCCAAGGAAACGTCCCCCAAAGCATAATACTGCCAACACGGGCCTGTGTATGACCTACTGTACATTGAGGGAGCAACTGTTCGCCTGGAAGGCGTATCTTGACACGGCCATCGGCGTGATGAATGACAAACCATGATTCATCTGACCAGGCTACTCTCTCCCACCGATCCATAGACCAATCGTAGCGTTCCGGGCCCAGCATAGGCGCAGTTGGCGATGACGCTTGGTCAGCAAAGGCACACGAGTGGGACATTTGCTGCGTAGCCCCATGTCCAACAGTGTCCGCTGAACAGTGTGCTCCGATACAATTCTACTTGGCCCTGCATTGTATTGGGCTGTCAGTTGAGCCACTGTCTGGCTCCGGTTTTGCTTCACCATGCGAGACAGTCTCCAACGACTTTTTCTTTGATTGCGTGTGGACGTCCAACACCATGTCGTCTACTGCTGGTTTCACCGCCATTCATCCACTTTGCATAAGTACTAACAACTGCATATCACGAACTACCCACGAGTCGTGCAGTTTCGGAAATATTTGTTCCGAGCCTTCGAGCCATTACAATCTGCCCTCTATCAAAGTCGCTTACATCCGCAGCCTTTCCCATCACACGCAGAAGTTAAGTGAAAGGTCTTAATCCCCTATCTTGTGTTTTTGTTGAGCATTGAGATATTCACTTACCATGATTAGTGGGTGGTGGGAAAAAATTTAAAAGTGAAGAATTTAAAGATAAAAATTCAAATTAAGAAAATACATTAGATTGCGACCTATAGAAATATTAAAATGAAGAAAAAATGCTGGAGCTCTTTTTGTTTGCGTTGGGGTGTGTTGGTACAGGTGTGAAAAAACTGTGTCGACCGCGGCTAACTCCAAAACCGGAGGCTAGCGTATGGTCAACTTAATCATTGTTGTCAGGTCAGCAAGCTCGGCAACCGAGAGAACCCGGCACCTTGCCCACCGGCTTCCAATTGAAAGTGTGGGAAAATGATGGGTATTTAAGCTGGTTAGGGGCTCAGTGCGTTCGTCCAATCAGGGAGCTGCGATTCGTTAGTGGGTGTGTCCGGGATTGGGGAACAGTTAGTAAGTGAAAAAATGTTATCAGAGTCGGGGAGAGCGAGAGCCACTCTCCGTATTGGTCGAGCAGGTCGCCTCCGATTGGAGGGATGAGATACTTGGAAAATTAGATTGAGAAAACGATGATAAATGAAAAATTTAAGATCTTACAGTGGAATTTAAGATTGAAAATAATTAAAGTAGTATATTACGGGGTCTGTTAAAGATTTCGATCGTTCGAAGAGTTCTGTTGTCAATAAGGGGGATGTTAGTAAAAAAGTTTATCGAAATTATTTTCATGAATTCCCTAATGGTTGTGATATTTAACGAAAACCAGAGGTCTTCGTTTCTCACGAACCATCGGGCGTTTGTAATTTGTCTGATGATATGATTTTGTGCTCTTTCTAAGATGTTAATATTAGAGTTTGCAGCGTGGCCCCAGACTGGACAAGCGTACGTTATCACTGGCCTGAGAATCAGAGTATACATAAGCATCTTGTTTTTAATAGTAAGAATTGAGTTCCGAGAAATTAGGGGATAAAGACTACATGCTGCTTTTCGGAACTTAGTTTTAATCTGTGTGATATGTGGTCTGAAAGTGAGGTTTTTATCTAAAATTACGCTAAGGTATTTTGTCTGTTGATACCAGGGGACTGGGTGATTGTTAACATGGACAATGGGTGGTTTTCTGAGTGTGTTACGGGAGAAGAAGACGGCCTCCGTTTTGGTTGCATTCAGTGCTATTTTCCATCGGGAGAACCAATCCTCTAACTCCGCAAAGTGTCTGAGGAGGAAGTGAGTGATACATTTGAGATCTGTATGTTGTGTCAGGATCGCTGTGTCATCCACATACATGCAAATGGTTGTATACCTGTTTTTAGGTATATCATTCACGTAGATGTTAAATAGAGTGGGCCCAAGAGGGACCCTTGTGGAACGCCAGATTTTACATTTTTAAATTCAGAATATGTATTGTTAACTCTGACAACGAAGTTTCTGTTAGAGAGATAGGAGCGAATAATTTTTGTTAGGTGAGGAGAAGTTTTAATCCGGATGAGCTTATATAGCATCCCCACATACCATACTCTATCGAAGGCCTTCTGGATATCCAGAAAAATGGCCCCGGTCGAACGCTTATCTTTGAGTCCGGTTTTGATGTACTCAACTACCCTGAGCAGCAAGTAAGTGAAAGAATAATTCTTCAGACTCTCCAGCAGCAGTTAAATACCTTTTCCACCTAATCACGTGCCTTCCACGTCATCCAGGTGAGTTCATTGCAAAATGTAGGGGTGGTCATAATGTTTTGACTCTTGAGTGTATATATATAAAGAGAGTATACTAGAGAGAAACTATGTATAATATTAGAAATTGAAAAAGGATGAATTACCCCAAAATTTCTTTTTCCTCAAATGAAGATATAAGTTTAACTTAAATGAAGCTTATTGTATTAAAAAAAATTCATTAAAATAAGCCATATTGCACTTAATTAATTGAAGTAATTAATTCTTGAGTAGTCCTTGAGTCTTCTTAAGGAGTTTCTTTCTTTTTTTGTTTTGTTTTAGCCTATATATCAGTAAACACAGCGCAAAATTACTACTAAAGATTATGCTACAACTAAAATACATACAAACCGTGATCAAACTTACAAATATACGTTTTAATTGTATAAATATAATTAGGCTAAAAATGGATATTTTATGCAAAATTCAGTTTTACACCGCGCTGTATAAATCAATACATTATTCTGCATATTATTTATTTTTCATTTCTTAAAAGGACAAATATTTAAGGTATTCAACAACTATCAAACTATAAACAATAAAGTACAAACTGGTTTTTCAGGCTTAAAATTTTTTCATATATTTGTAAAATATAAATATATAATTTTTATTTTAAAATGTAACGTTAAAAGTGTCTATAATATAAAAATTCAAAAGGAAACATAATATGTAAGAATATACTTTTTTTTATGAAAGGAAGACTGGTTTTATTTAAACAAAATGAATAGTATAATGTAATATGGATGCTCTCTTTAAGAAAGTAAAATAAAAAATGTGAGATATATATGTATATAATTATTATTATTAAAATAATTTTTTTTTTAAAAATTATTACAAATAATTTTTAATTGGAAATATTTTAATATCATTTCTACCACCCTCAACCTCGTTCTAAATGTAATTCACAAATTTATCGTTTCATAGAAAAAGTGGATTTTTGTTTATTAGTATAATTGAATCCTCATAATCATTGAAATGTGTTATGAGTCAGCACAAATTTATGTTAAATTTCAAAAAAAATGTTTTACATTTTGAGAAAAAAATAATAGTTTTTGGAAAAAATCATATCATTTATCATATATTTTTCTTAATTTGATAAAAATTTCTTCAAACATTTTTTTTGTGGAGTACTATATTAATGGTTCTACATGCTTAATACTTATTGCATGGAAGAAGTATTTTTCCAACTGGAGTCTATGGTTAGGTTTCTACAAGCTTAATATTTCTTGCATGGATAGAAGACATTTTCCAACTAACTAATGAATAAAAGGATTATTTTGAATACACTTATTATATTACTAAAAAGACTGAAAAATATATTTGAATTCTTTAATTTAGAAATCTAGAAAACAACTTCATCTAAACATATAAATCCTTAGTAATTAAGAAAAATTTGTAGCTTTTTTTTTTTTTTATTGAATGAAAGTGATATTGAATGCCTTAAAAGTTCATATAATTTTCCAAATATTAATTTCATATTGTAATTTATTAGTTGAAAGTTATCGCACCAAAATTATAAACACTAATGAGTGTGTAACTAATTTTAAACTAAAATAACATTTAATGCACTTTGCATGCCAGAATAAAAGCAGTGAGATAAAACTTGAATTTCATTTAAAAAATGTTAAATTAGAAACAAAATATATCATGTTAATTTTAATTTGGATATATTATATTTATGTAACAACTGAATTAATGCTTCAGTATATACCAGAAGTGAACAGTCAGATTTTCGAAAGTTGAATCGAAAAGTATAGGTATGAATATTAAAGACATTTTAGTCGATTCCAAATTATAGTTTGCATATGAAAGTAAAATCAATACAATTTTACTAACATCACGAAACTAAAACTGAAATATTGAAATTTTTCAATAAATTGCAAAATTTAGGTAAATAGTAAAGGGATAAGAAGAAACCATTTAAGAGAAATCAGTGTACAGTGTCGTACTACTTTTTTAAAATGGATCGAATTTACTTTTTGCTAAACATTTT